TTGTTCCAGAACATTCCCTTGGGTGGGGCTACCTTTGATGAATGTGCTGCTCAGTGTGAAGGCTGTTCCTGTCCCATCCTGATGCTTCTCTGTTCTTTCCCGGGTGTCATTCCCCACAGACCTGCCAATCCCCCACTATATCACAATTTTTGCTTCCCAAGAAACTGAACCTGGGATGCTGGTGCCTTGAACCCCATGCAAACTCTGTGTTTTCTGTATGCACTTATTTTTACCACTTACCTAGTGACTAGTGAGATCCATATTTCTTTAGAAAGGAGTAATAGCAGATCCTCAAAGTGATGGCATTATAGAGGAAAATACAATTGTGTTCCTGGGGTTTTCTTCACAATAGACTACACACACACACACACACAACCAAACAAAAAAGATAACCCTCCAAGAGTCTAAGAATCTCACATCTAAGAGTACACCTCTCCTATTTGTCTTCAGATCTTTACTCCTTGTTCTCAGGGTTGACTTCCAGAAGATGGCATATCATATAGAACAATCTGCTTCTTGTTTGTTTAAAATAGGGTCTATGTAAACCTGGGTAGCTTGGCATGTGCTATGTAGACCAGGATGGCCTCAGACTCAGAGATCTGCCTGCCTCTGTCTCCTAGGATTAAAGGCAAACAACTCCATGGCCAGTTAGTTTTTTCTTTATTGTTATATGAGGGAGTATAATGTGTGCATGGAGGTCACAGGACAACTTTCAGAAGTCAGCTGTCTCCTTCCAATTTATATAAAGGTCTTGGGTGCACATTTACATGCTTTCACAGCAAGTTCCTTTACCTGATGAGCCATCTTGCAGGCTCAGTTTTTCATCCTTAAAAACACATTTTTTAAACTGGAGGTAATATTTCCAAAATTTTTCATATTTATCAGCAGATCAAAGTGACAATATTTAATTACACACAGCAAATATTGAGTTTAGATGATAAAATTAATGCTTTAGGACTGTACATTTTAAAAGTTATTTCCCTAAGTTCTATTTCTTTCTGTTCTGGCCACATTTGTCTTCTAAATTCTGGGCCAATGTTCATATGAAAGCTGTGATGTTGGATCTTTGAAAATCACAGAGTGATGCTTATTAATATTTATTTATGAATTAGAATACTCCCTAAAGGTTCAATAACAAAAGATGTTGATATCTGAAATTTTAGCCGTTTTCTGAAACCAACTTAAGTGTGTCTAACCAAAGCATTCATTATTAGTTTGTGGTGTTGGGCAGGAGACAGCACCTCACAAAGGCTGGGCAAATCCTTTACCACAGGGCTACTGTCCTAGCTGCAGCTAAGCAATTAAAACAGTAAGTTCTATGTAGACTCACATAACTAAAACCTCAGAACTGATTTTGTACTAATACCCTTGCTAGAACATTGAGATGGGAGGCACACTGGCTCACTGTATTCTCCATCCCCTCAAGGAATAGCATCTGGACCCTCTACAAGACACTTCAATGGCAGGCAGGAGTCAGCGCTGACTGAAGATTATTGTGGAAAATAAGCACAGGATTTTAGGGCGAGTGATCCGCCTTCCAGGGGCACTCGGCTGAAAAAGTGTTCACACATTGTCAAACATGAGTTAACACTTAGGACTTCTGTGGCAGAGAGGAAACCTCCAGGGTCAGGCTTCAGAGAACAATGGTTCTTACAGTAGGTGATGTGTGCGGTCCACTGTGATGATTACATGTCAACTTGATGTGGTGGAGAAACTTCAACCTTAGCAAAGCACAGCTTTAGGCAAGACCCTGGGAGCATTTTGGGAAACAACTAGATCTAACCCACTGATTGATAGACCCAGAATCTGATAGGCGACTGAGAGTCTGTGGAAAGTGTTGCAGGTGGGGCATGGTTGAAGAAGTGTGACGTGGATGATATGCCGCCCATGGATCTACCTTGACCCCACCATTACCTGCTTCTTCTCTATCGCTTTCACCGTGCGCTGTGATGTTCTATCTCACCGTTGAGCCCAGAACCAACTGGGCTGATTGGACTGAAGTGTCTGAAAATTCTAAACTAGAATGAATCCTTCTTTCCTTGTACCTAACTGATACCACATGACATCAGCCATGTGTTGAATCCAAGTGCTGGGAAGGTTGACTCTTTGCCAAGAACCCACAGTATCAAGTTCAACCATAGTGAAACCTTAGACTCTGCAGAACGGTGCCAAACAAGAAACCATGGCAGCTTTATGTTATTTTGTTTTTGTTTTGTTGAGACAGGGTCTCACTGTGTAGTCCTGGTTAGCCTAGAACTCACAATGTAGACCAGGCTGGCCTTGAACTCATAGAGACCTACCTACCTCTGCCTCTCAAGTGTTGGGATTAAAGGTGCAAACCACCTTGTCTGGTCCTTTATATGTTAATTTCGTGTTATCCCATTGGAGAATAATTTGATAATATCTATCAACATTACAAACTCTTCTACCTTCTTATCCAGCAGCCTCACCTGTGGGAATGTTGTAGTCTATAGATCATTTCAGACATACAGAAGAATTTGTGTTGCTTTGGCAGATAGAGCCAATAGAGAGAAAAGAAACTCAAATGTCAAGGAATAAGGTACCCATCAGATACATCAGTGAATACAATGAATAATTACCATGTATAAAGAAGCTAAGGTGATTTCCTATGTCCTACTACAGAGACATCTCTAAGATATTCTTTATGGATAAAGAAAGCAAGGCTAGTGACCGAACATAATCTGCACCCTTTGCTGTGCAAGACCAAGCAACTAGAATATATATTTGGATTTGCTATTATTTGTGTAAACTCTGGGAGGACAGAAGAGATGAACAAAAGATGCAATAGAGAAATTACGATGTGGCTTTTCCATCTCTACCTTCCTTACATTGATGGAGTTTTGAACCTTATGGAAGTCACCTGTTTGGAAATTAAATTTAACATCTTAATGTTGTCTCTTTGTAATGTAAAATATGAAACTTAGAACAAATGGCATTTTAAGACAACCGAGACAGTTCACATCACCACTGCTGAATTTCCTGAATAAAACAGAACTCATCCTTAAATGTGCCCATGGCATTTTTCTCTTTAATTCCTTCATGTTTGATTCTCCCGTGACTGTTCTTTCTTAACGCATTAATTGTATTACTTGAAGTGACTAAAAAGCACTCAAGGATGAGGCAACTGTGATGGACTCCACAAATTCAAACTGCATTGGAATTGGCTTGGCAGACCTAGGTCCTGTAGGCCACAATAGATAACCCAATTCCTCTATTTTGTAGACAGTGTTTATATGCTTCACACAGCTTCCTCTTGAATGCTAGGGAGGAACAATAGCAGTGGCTACCAGCAAAGGGCTCCATCAGGCTATAAACATATTTTTCCCTTCCTTGATAAATGCCAATTGTAGTTCACTTGGAACGTTGGGGTGTCCTTGACATTAATCTCAGTTGGAACTGAGTGCCTCTCTCACCTTTCATTCCATACTGAAACCAAGAATAAATAGTCTGAGGTGAAAAACCAAATTATCAATCTCCTTACATCATTAATAGGCCCAATATGGCATTTCAGAAGAGCATGGATCTCAGTAGATAGCTACCAACCACAACTTGACAATTCTGGTGCTGACACAGGGATCTATGAAGATGGACTGAGCACTGTCACTATACCAGTGAGTGATTCTGTTCTGGAGCAACATGAGGATTAACACTGAAGGTGTGGGCTGGAGGGCAAGGGTTTTAAAATTAGGCACTACCCACTGCTGTCAATTTGCTAGAGCCAAGTGTCATTTACCAACTGTGTTGCTTTGGGCAAGTTAAATAACCTATCTATGCATCTATTTCCCTCATTAGGGAACAATCTGTCACAACAGTGCCTGCTTCAAAAAGTCAACAGGAAGACCAATGGGAGTGGGGCTCCAAGGGGACATGTGACCTCAGGGGTCAATTTTAGATACTAGTCTGGAGGAAGCAAGAGAACCTGCAGATCAAGTTGGATGCCTAGATGTGTATCCACCTTCTCAGTGCTTGGAGCAGCTAAAAAGAGATGGTAACTGTGGTAGTTTGAATGTGATTGGCTGTCATACTCTCATTGGGAGTGGCACTATAGGAGGTATGACTTTGTTGGAGTGGGTATGGCCTTGCTGGAGGAAGTGTGACACTGTGGGGGCAGGCTTTGAGGTTTCCTATGCTCAGGATACTACCCAATGTCTCAGTCAACTTCCTGTTGTTGCAAGATGTAGGACTTTCAGTTCCAGCACCATGTCTGGCTGCACACTGCCATCTCTGTCATGATAATAGTCCGAACCTCTGAAACTGTGAGACACTCCAATTGAATGTTTTCCTTTATAAGAGCTCCGTGATCATGGTGTCTTTTCACAGCAATAAAACCCATAACTAAGACAGTAACTAAACAGACCTTAATCTAAAAGTTGAGAGTGTTGATTCTCTGAAATCTGAACAGGAAGCAGACCTCACCTTACGTTTATAAATGAAAGATACTGGCACTTCTGAAGTACCAAGAGCACTGTGGGCACTGTCTTCCAAGTACAGAAGCACACTCCTTAGTTCCTGATTCTCACAAGGATGTTAACCCTAATAGCTTACTAAGAAATTACTGATAAACAGATAAGGATAAGATGCCCAAACTTGCAGAAAATGTTTCCAAGAAAAATGGCCCTTGAATAAAACCTGGCAAAATTGTACTTCATCAAAATGTAATTTTCAATCTTATTCAATAAAGAGGGTGCTGAACAGTTAGAAAGCTTTATCCCCAAAGGATTAAAAGTGTAGAAAGTGTGTTGGAAACCTAAACTTTCACTAACAAAAAAGTAAAGGCTTTTTATTTTTTTAAACAAAATTTTTAATTGAGATTTTTCAACCTCAGAAAAATACTCATTACATTTGGCAAGATGGCCAGACTCCTTTTAGGCCAATCCCCCCAAGAAGGCACTCCAGAATCAATGTCCATCTGTAGCTGTATAAAAATGACTGCACATCTTTGTCCTGACACTCCAGAAGAAACACTCAGAACACAAAGCGTAAATGGACTTGGATTTTTAATTTTTTAAAGATTATCTCTCTATATATATTAATAAAAAGTGCAAAGAATAGACCTTCATGTTTAAATTATATTCTAAAATAAAATATATATATATTTATATTTATATTTCCATTAACTGCAGGAGACAATTGTAAAGGGCCTGAGAGTCCAGTCCCTCTGTCACTACAATAAACATACATTTTAAGGAAGCACCTATGAAAAACAGTAGAGTTCACAACAACGTTTGGGGACACAGAGCTTCTGGGCATCTTGGAAGCAGTTTGTTTGCATTTCAGTCTTACATGAAATAAAGGGAAAAGTCAAATTCATAAACAGAAGTGACAGTATGTAAGAACTATCGAGCATTCTGGAGTCATGTTCTACCTGCCATTGGGCCTAAGCTGCAGTATAGAGAGCCACGCTCATGAGTGTTAGGAAAAGCTATTGGTGGCACAGCTCCCATGGTGACCAAATCTGTATAACAAAGTGTCCTCTGCTCCCAGCATGACTGGTGGGGTGATGTGGCTAAAAATCCCAGCTGCAATTGCTTTTGCTCTTCCCCTTAGCCAAGCAGCTCTTCATGGGTTTAGCATTTCAGCTCTCAGCCCTTCAGCTTCATTTTCACTAAAAAGGTCTTTAAGAACCAAGAGTGTTCATCTCTGCTGCTTTCTTATGCGTTTATGGCAATGGGCTGCAGAAATAGGCAACTGTGGGCCTTTGCTTCTTGTAAAGAAATCTAGGAGAGCTGAACAATAGAACTCACAAATGGATAAATGGACCCCAGCTTTAGCAGCTCTACCCACAGGTAGCACTCTTAGTTTGGCTTTGGCTTTCTTGTATTATTCCTTTCCTTTTCCGCAACTGAAAATAATTTCTACTTCAGAAAGGCATGTTCTCTCTGCTGTGCCTGAAGGCACATCTCTGTAATAGTGATGAGGATAGCGTTTTGCCTCCTAACTGTCAACAATATGCTCCCACTCAATCTGATAAAGTCAATATTAAAATACAGACAAGCATGATGCATAATGTGTAGACTCAAAGGTCCACGGTCTCTTCTCTCTGCCTTCTGCGTCTGTTATAAAAATAATTTTGGTTATAAATGTCTACACAGCACCAATTTTATTTTAAACGCAGCCTCTTTACTTAGCCACCCAAATAAAACTGTAAATACGCATGCTCAAACAGCTTTTCTCCTTTACTTCTGTAATTCTAAAAGCCCAAGGACTGTATTTGAGATTTTCTTAATTGGAAATGATTCGGCAATTATTCAAACGACCAATTACAATGCCCTAGAAATACCTACACCAGTTAAATTGGTTGAGAAGTTCCCCTTACATGCAACTGCAATAAAGGATTGGGCCTGCAGTAGATAAACACTGTATTCTGTAATAACAGAAGAAATGGGTCTCAAAGAGTAAAAAAGCATCTCATAAAACTTTGTCATATATAAAATATCTTATTGTGACCATTCCACTTATGACCAAAGTGTAAGTGCTCACTCTTGCCTTCTGCCATGGGACAGTAGTGGCTCCAAAGTTCAAAAATAAGAGTGCATCTGCTTCCCAGGCTGACAAAAGCAAAGTCTCCATCACAGTTTCTCTCGCAAACTCCTCCGCATGCACTCACGCGCACATACACAAAGCACCCAGTCTTCATCTTCGTGACACTGTTGCCACACTTTTTGTTTTCTTATTTCCAAAAATCTGTCAAGAAAATGCCATTGCAAAATAACTGTCCTTGTCTATACTAGCCTGATCCCTGCTGCTCACTTTTAGGATTCGGAGATAAAGTCTGCAGCAGGAGAACTGGCCTTGTTCATCTTTCTAAACCCTTTGGTTTTCACCTTTAGCGCCTCGGTGAATTCAGGCCTGCATCTGTCTGTCCAGAGGCCTGAGTCAACAGCTTTAGATACTGAACCTGAAGTGCAATCAAGAGAACAAACACCTGCCACATGGAGGAGGAAACTTTAAGAAACACAACTCCCCATCCATGAAGAAGTCATAGAGTCACCTAAAGAGTTAACAAGAAAGTAAGCTTATAGGAGAAGTGGAATCCCATAACAAGGGTGAAAAGCCAAAACAAACAAAACCCCAAAATACCAAAACAACAAACAAATAAAAACAAACCAGGCAACAGTTGCATTTTTTGAAAACCTCTGCTGCCTCCCACCAGTAGTAGACAGCGAATCAAAAAAGAATCTCTATACTAAAGAAAGGACTTACATTAAATAAACAATGAATGGAAGGCCAAAGAAAACGGTTCCAGAGAAGGTGAGGAACTGGTATTAAATAAAGGAAAGTGCCTTAGATACACTTCTGCAAAAGAAACCTGGGGAGTTGTAACACTGAAACTTCACTTATAAGATTAGGCAAAAATCAATCTATAGGTGACGTAAAGTAAAATACAAAACAAAAACAGCTGTTCAATTATGACATCACAAAGTCCCAAGAAAAAGGTGGGAACCATAGTTCCCTTTGATTAAAGTCTCTCACTTTTAATGACATTGCAAGGACAAGTGCTAGGATGGAGGACAAGGGAAGGACAGTCAGCAAGCTCACTCTCTCCTAATCTCTCCACCTCCTCCTTCACATACCCCTGGCCAGCCCATCAGTTGACTCTTTGCTATGGGTTGCATCTCTAGACCTGTCCAGGCTCTTCCATTATCTCCAGTAGCTTATGTGACAGAGCTGTCAGGAAATACAATCACTAAGCAGAAAGAAAAGACTGAACAGTAGCTATGGCTGATCAAACGCACAAGGGCTTCTGGGCCGGACAGCAGCAGCAGAGAGGTTAAAGTTCTCTGCCCATGCTTCCAGGACCACAGCAAGTTTCCTTGGGTTTAACTCTCCAACTACATCTCTTCAAAAGCCTAATGGAGTTCCTGAGATCAGAATCAGGCTGAAAAATGCTTAAAATACTCAAAAGCATTTAAAACGGAATGTGAGGGAGGTCAAATTTGAGGGGGAAAAACACCAAGTAAATTACAAACAGAATAAAACTACCAGGTGAATGTGTGCAAGTCAGAGTCAAAAAAGACCCCAGAAGGAAAGGAGGAGGACAGAGGGGACAGAAGACCTGGAGCTAGAGAGGGAAGGTGCTGGTCCTTCCTGGGAAGAACCCCATCTCTGGATTTGAACACTGTGCACCACCCCTCTGAGGGACCACTCTGTGTTCGAGCCTGGCAGGAAAGAGCCCAGAGGCTGACAAACCCCAGCAACACAGTAAGGAGTTGGTGATTTCTCTGTCATCTTTCATAAGAGAGAGAGAGAGAGAGAGAGAGAGAGAGAGAGAGAGAGAGAGAGAGAGAGAGAGAGAGAATGAGCATAAAGACTGGAGATGCAGCAAGGTCTGCTGACTGAGCTGAAGAAATCTGTGGTAGAAATACCAAAAACAATCCCCTACCCATTCTAGGGGAAGAAAATATACAAAACCCCTCCAAAAGCTAAACAAAACCCAAACAAAAAGGAAATGTCCTTCCTCCTAAAGAAAAGCACGCTGGAAACAAACACCCTGCAGGAAGTCCTATGTGAGTTTTTACAAGGCTGGTAAAGGTTATTTTGTTTTTGATTCCACAAAAATTTTATCTCCATCCCTAATGCCAAAGGAGTGCAGAGCTCGGGAGCTGTACTTCATCTCTTCTGGGCCGAAGGGGGCCTCGTGGTCAAAGTAGTAGAGAAGCATGCTGCTCGTGGGCAACTGCACTAGAGTTTTCAGTTGTTTCTTCAATTCTGCTACTGTTTGGTCCAGACGAATGCTCATTTCTTCTACTTGGTCATTAAAGTGGACTTCTACCTTTGCACTGCTCTGGGGTCTTAGGTCCACTTCTGCCAAAGGCTCCAATTTCCCATACTTTGTGATGAGTTCATGATACCTAGGAGTATTAAAAAAAAAAAGTGTCACCTTAAACACTTACAACACACAAGCAAATTGCACTGTTACTCTCAGCATCTTTTCTCATTGTGTCCTAAGACTGTCCCTTTCTTCCTACCTATAGATCTAGCTACTGAGTGACTGTTGTAGCTTCTGTGTCTTGATGTAGCTGCCTGCTGAGGCCACAGTAAAACCACATGCTTGTGGAGAGGAGCATTTCTCTTGAAGATGGTCCTCACTTACAAATGGGCTCACAGGGGCTGAGGATGTCTTTCAGCAGAGTGATTGCACACCTGTAACCTAGCACTGGGGAGGTAGAGGCAGGAGGATTAGAAGCTCAAGGTCATCCTCCGATACATCACAAGGTCAAGGTCAGCCTGGTCTATATGAAACCATGTCTTAAGCAACTGGGGATGGAAAAACGTTTGAGGAAGAAAACAACCTAGAGAAGTGGGTGCTACAAAGGCAACAGGAAGGAGCTCCATCCCTCCCCAGAGTGTTTTCTTGGGTGTCACTACCAAGAAGGGAAAACTCCTAACTAAGCATGTTTCTTGGTAATACAGGGGAAGGGAGGGAAGCAGTTTCTTGAAGTACCAAGAAGTCATAATTTACAGAACAACAATAGAACAACAACATCTATTTCAGCTATTTTCCAACTCTTTCAATGAAGCCTTGTTGGAATGTTCCAGCCTGGCCCCAGCTAACCACAAGAGTTATGAAAGGATCAGGGACTCGTTCTTGGAAAAAGAGGACCATAAATAAAGATGTCCTGTCATCAGGGTAGAACTAATGAAGCAAAGCACACTAAGAGGAAAGAGAGTTATCGAGGTGAGAACATGGTCCCCAATATTGAGTTCCTACACAAAAACTCTTGTATCCACTGCCAGCTTAGGGGGAATTAAGTCTGAATTGATGGAGGAAGCTGGGCAGTATCCTACATAACAGAGAGGGGGAAAGAGTCGTCATTAGTTTTTCTGTAACTAAGACACACTGAGGTTAATTAAGGATCAGAACTTGACAGTCACGTAGCACCAGGCTCCAGCTCTCCCACTCTACTTCTGGCTTCTACTCAGTACAATCAGTGTCATAATAAGGTTAGTAGAACACTAATGACACAGTAAGACATTGTGCTGAGAGATGGAGGGAGAAACAGGGTATAGTAAAAATAGCACAGGCCCTGACTTTCAAGCCTGCCTTGTGATTAACATGATGACTTTGCAGCTCATGGAGTCCTCTGGATCTGCTTCCTCATTAGCAAATGTAGGATGCTAAGACCTGCCCTTCCTACCTGAAGGACAGTCATAAATAAAACAACTGGTGAGTAAACGCCCTGAACATACGTACATACATACATACATACATACATACATACATACATACATACAAACAAATAAAATCCCTACTTTGGAACTTACAATAGGGAAGCATACACACACCTACAACTGAAGTCTCCTTAGGAAGGACTTAGAGAAGGTGCTGGTTTGACATGGCAGCCTGTAGAACTGTCTCTCAGTGCTTGATCCCAGATTAAAATAAACAAAACAAAAACCCAAACCACACACCATCAGCAGCAACACAAGAATGGGGACACAACCTCATGGCCAAAACCTTTCAGATGGAACCCAGGGCTCAGTTGTGTGGGGGATAGCAGATCAAGTCAGATCCTTAGACTGTGGAAACCACTGAGGTAAATAGAGAAAGTTTTCCTCAGTGAAAGACACACAGCCAAGGATGAAGGAGTCTTTTAATACATGTCTGTGTCTGCTGAATCTCTTCCTGGTTGGCCTTCCTATACCGCAGGGTTTAAAAAGCTGAAAACTACATTTTCCACATTTCTTTGCAGATGAGATTTAGTTTCCACCAGTATCAGTCAGCCTTGAAAGGATCTAGCAGACACAGCATGGGGACAGTTGGGGTAGCAACTTCTTAATCACCAGACTAAAAGTTCAAGCAAGGTTCTTTCCTGGAGTCAACAGCCTGGCAACATCCTGCTGGTCTGGAGGTCAAACAAAGGTGACCTGAGAAGCACCAAGGACAGTGCTTGGTGTAGGCACCCCACCTCCACCAGGTTTACTACAGAGCTAACAGTGCCTTGGAGGCACTTTTGTGGTATTATTCTAGAGGCAAGCCTAGGGAGGTGGCTGGTCTACTCTTCAGTTCTTCTAACGATTTTGTATGGACATCAGTTACTGCATGAAACCCCTTCTTAAGCAGCTTATGACTTCTCATGAATTTAGGGTGCCTCCAGGACAGACTGTTTCCATTTTACAAAAGTCGGATACATTTTAGAAAAGATTTATTCCTAGTCTTTTTCATCTATTACTCAAAGTCCACCCAAGCTGAGCCCTGTCTGCACTGGGGCACCTGAGCTTTGCACAGCATCCCCTCAATGTCTTCACAAAGCTGTTGTTGTAGACAACAAAACAGTTCCTGATGCCTAAGTATTCTTCAAAACCAGCTTCTCAACTTGCATCCTATGGACCAGTATCTTCATCCTGCTGGTAACAAGTATCTAGTATTTATAAGCCTTGCTTATTAGTGAGAAAAATTCCATGCACTTGCATTCAGAAGTTCCCTGTACAGATCTCTTCTTTAAAATGTAACATGTGAAACATGAAAAATTCCCAGTGGCCCATTTGGTTAAATATAATCCCTGAAGAAATGAGAAAAGAGGATTCCTTAAGGTTACTTTGATCCTGGGGCATTCTGAGGGCTCAAAACTATGTCCCAAGTATTCTCCTAGTGTCCCGTTTAGTCTCCATTACAATACATACACCTTCTCTCAAGAGACCATACCACAAGTGTCCTCTGAACACCCCGTCTGGTCTCTGCTACAATATAGTGTCTCTTGAGACCATGCCATCCACAGAACAGCAGAAAAGAAGAAATCTTAATGCTCTCTAACAGACCTTACACTCTAATGACAGCTTTAAGGCCAATGATATTCTTACTCAAACACATTCTTACTCCAATCACGTGTTGGAGGCAGAAGAAACCTCACGGATCATCACTTACTTTACTGACATGTCATTAGAGACTGTTCACTAACTAACCTGAAGCTTCAGAACAAAGGGAGAGTGAGAACTCAAGCTCTGTTCTAGGCCATCATTCCTCTTAGTTCCAACCACCCTGGTGGCTTGCTGTGAGAATGAACACTAGTCTAGAATCTCAATCCTCACTCCTACTCACTCCCTTTCGACTTTTCTTCAATGGCTCCTTTATTTTTCTGCTATTTTTGGAAGTGTCTCACCATGTAGGCCATGTGGTCTTGAGCTTGAGAACCTCCCATCCCAGCCTCCATATCCTGGAGATTTGGGAGTGCGCCTCTTTTCTCATTCTGCCACAAACACTTGTATGGTCCTAACTCTTGATTTTTCTCTGTCCAATTGCCCCCCCACCCGCATTGCAAGACACTGCCACTACAAGGAATGGGGTGCTATTATTTGTCATATATTGTTTTTGCAATTGCACGTGAACCTACCATTACTCCTAATGACTGTTTCAATTAAAAGGGGCTAAGACTGTATAGATCCCAGTGGTATACTATTCCAGAGAAACCAAAACAGCGGCATAGAAAACATTCTACAGCTGACAGAGGGTAGAAGTCGGGGGAAAGGTTGAAGAGGAAATAGTTTTTAGATGATGGGAATTTTAGATTCTGCTTGTGTTGGAAGTTATATAATGGGACTGTCAAAATTCAGAACTATAAACTAAAAAGGGTGAAAATGTACTCCATATCAGTTATATCGCAATAAATCTGATTTTAAAAAAGAATAATGTAGGCATGGAAAAAAATGCCTCAGTGGCTAGGAATGCTTGCTAAGGCAAGCATGACAGCCTGAATTCAGATAGCAGTACCCATGTAAAAACGCTGGCCTAACCTCAGCACTGTGGAGGGTGGGGCCTGGGAATTGTTGGGGCTAGCTGACCACCAGTTCCAGGCTAAGTTGAAGTCTATCTCAAAAGGAATGTGGCAGAAAGTGACAGTGTAGGACACCTAGTATCTTCTGGCCTATACATGTGCGAATACCACACACATATACACTCATATATACACACATCCCAAATTTCTTAAAATTTAAAATGGATCCAGATACACAAGATAAGCATTTAATAAGATCCCGTAAGATAAATAGGAAAAGCGGAAGCAGAAGTAAACATTACTAGAAATGTAAAAGGCAATGAACAATGGCATAGCCTTTTCACATGGCAAGGATCTCACTCGGGTTGATACTGAAGACATACAACACTCTGAATCAACGCGTTGTGACCATCTCCCTACAGAAGTTTAGCACAGAATTGCAGTGGATTTGCCAGGAACCCCTACCAGCGGTTGCCTGGGAACTGAGTACATCATGACTGCTGAGCATGTGAGTAGGAAGATGAACTTTTTGCTGCAAGTTTAAATTTTCAACCAGATTTCATGTGGAAGCATTGTCCATCAAGATGAAAATCAAGCAATGTAGAAACTGAGACACATACCCCACAGATCATAAGAGTTCTGCAGTGAGTATAAAATCTTAAAGCTAAGTGAAATCTAGAAAAATAAGAAATTACCTGCCCAACTCATTTTACAAAGCTAGTACAACACTTAAAAACCCAGAAGAGCAGAAAATTATTATAGGCCAATTTTACATATGAAAAATAAATGGCAACATTGCAAATAGCGTAAAATTAAGTCCTACCTGCTTATAAAGGATATTTCTTATTCCATAATGAGTTGAACACTGGAATGCAAAAATGGTTCAGCCAAGCAAACACAGTGTTAAAATCCAGAGTAACGGAAGAAAATGTTAATCAGAATGCAAAACCTGGTGCTATTCAGTGACCCAAGAAACTTGCTAGAAAACCAAGAATAAAACAATCTCAACTCAGTAAAAGTCCAGCATTCATAGCAGAATGATTCACACTGAAGCCTTGCACACGTTCTCTTCAGATGAGGAAGAGGGTCGGTCATTGGATGGCTTCTGGGTTTGGGTGGTTTTAAGGACTGAACTCGGA